TTTAGGGTTTACGTGGAGGTGAAGCAAGAGGGCCCCCGTAGCGCTGCAGGCAACAAACACAACATGTTTATGTTGAGGGTTTACAGCTGGGGCTCCTAAACCCTAAACCCTAAACCCTAAACCCTAAGCCCTTGACGGGAGGAGGAATCCCTGCAGCTGCTGAAGGTAATAGACGGATACGCTTCGAGCCGATAAACCCTAAACCCTAAACCCTAAACCCTAAACCCTAAACCCTAGATGAAAGGACTTGAACCCCAAACCCTCGGTGTTGAGCAGACCTCAAAGCCTCCCCAGAAAGTCCATAGAGCTGAAGAAAGAGGCACAGGCAGAACAAGTAACCCATAGACTCTAGGGTTTAGGGTTTAGGGTTTAGGGTTTAGGGTTTAGGGTTCACAGCGTATGGGTTAGAGGTTAACAGAGGTCTCACAGATTCGCTGCTGCTGCTGCTGCTGCTGCTGCTGCTGCTGCTGGAAGCCAAGCGCGTCATTATGCTGCGCAGCCAGTGGGTCCCTGAAGGTACAAACCCTAAACCCTAAACCCTAAACCCTAAACCCTAAACCCTAACTCTTATCCCTAAACCCTCACTCTTACCGTAAACCCTAGTACTACATTCTAAAGCCCTCACGGCCCTAAACCCTAAACCCTAAACCCTAAACCCTAATTGGTATATCTACGCAGCGTTCGGTCCCCTCTTGATGGTTATTTCTTGCCCTTGCTCCCTAAACCCTAAACCCTAAACTCTAAACCCTAAACCCTAAACCCTAAACCCTAAACCCTAGGGAGATCTGACCTCTAGATGGAGTGAACTCTCTTGCAGGCAAAAACCGCAAGGAGACAGTTGAATAAGAATTGTCTCCTTGGGGGCCCCCGTACCCTGGGGCCCCTTCTGGGGTTTGTGTTGTGAGGGCCTCCACCAGCAGCCTGAGGGGCCCCACAGCAGCAGCGAGCTTAGGCGGTTTTAAGGGTTTAGGGTTTAGGGTTTAGGGTTTAGGGTTTATGGTGGGGGGTTTAAGCTGACAAAGAACTGTCTCCTCAGATACACAAGCAACTAGTGCAACCTAAACCCTAAACCCTAAACCCTAAACCCTAAACCCTCAACTGCCCCCCTTGGCCTCGCGTCTTGGGCAAACACTCCAGGGCCCCTAGAATTTAGGGTTTAGGGTTTAGGGTTTAGGGTTTACTCTCTTTCTGCATGCGGCATGTTGGTGGGGAGTAGTATGGTCCACGCAGCCGAAGCAAAACCCTCGACGAGAATGTTGGCATCCATTTCGCGCTGCATATACACCTCAAAACCCTAAACCCTAAACCCTAAACCCTAAACCCTAAACCCTAAACTGAGTGATCCGTGTTCTGTCTTTATACTTTTATTTTTACATGGTGTGGGGTTTTCTGGTCAAAAGGAGACAGTGAAATCACCTTAAGGGACAGAAAGGCTTCAGCAGCAGCAGCAGCAGCAGCAGCAGCAGGGGCCCCTCCGCCAGTTGTTAGGGGCCTCTGATATACCTGCAGCACCCCGGGGGCCCCCGAAGCAGCAGCAGCAGCAGCAAGGGTACCGTTCGATGAGAAGACAGCGCAGCGGACTGTGGCAGACAGGGGCGCTGCAGCTTCTGGGGGCCCCCCACTAGCTGTCTCCTGCTGCTGCTGCTGCTGCTGCTGCTGCTGCTGCTGCTGTCTCCTTTCTGCAGCACCGTCCCCACACAGGGAGAAGGGCATCTCCAGCCCCGCAGCACCCGCAGCAAGCGCAGCCTGGGGGCCCCCACCAAAGGAGACACCAGAAAAAATAGGAGACAGGGCCCCCACAGCTGCTGCCGCCGGGCGGGGTGCTGCTGGGTTGGGGGGCCCCTTCGGGGGCCCCTTCGGGGGCCCCTTCGGGGGGCCCCCCAACCCCCTCGGTAAACAACTGTCTCCTCCTGCAGGAGACAGTTGTTTACCACGTTCGTGTGAAGGCTGTCTTGTGCAGCTGGTTCCATGCTCGAGCTGCTGCTGCTGCTGCTGTTGCTGCTGCTGCTGCTGTTTCCCCTGCTGCTGCTGCTGCTGCTGCTGCTGGACCGCGCCCTGTGTGTGGCTGTCAGCCCCCCTGGGGGGCCCCCCAATAGACATTTTGTCTGTGCTGCAGGCGGAGGAGACAACCCCCAACCGAGTGTCTCCTCTTAACCCCCCTGCATATCTTGGGGGGCCCCCGGGGGCCCCCAGCTGAGGGCCTTCAGGGGGGCCCCGCATCGAGAAGGGGAAGAGGACGTGCCCTGCTCCGCTCCGTCTCCTGCTGCTGTTGCTGCTGCTGTTGCTGCTGC